CTGAATACACGCATTGATTACAACACATCTTTTGTATGTGTACAAGAAACCTGGTTGAATCAAAACATTGAGGACATGCTCGTGCGAATAGAAGGCTTCGACTGCTACCACTAGGATACATAGCGAAGTAGGAAAAAAATTAGGCAGTGTCCAAACCCACATCAATATTTCCTGTCACGGCAAGTCAGAAGTGACATACAACTCGCTGACTGTTTGTTCACTGTCATCCCAAATTTTCCCTTCACAAAAATACAATCATCACTAATGCTCTCAAACGGATATCTCTGCTTTCTTTGATTCCTATATTCCATTACTAGTTCCATTATTAGATGAAAATCTTCACTTATTTGGTGATTTCAATCATGCAAGCATTTCCCCTGATTCTGTTTGGTCTATCTGACCCCTCTCATTCTCCTACCAGAGATAGTTTTGTGCTGAACAGTGATCACAAACCATCCCAACTTATTCTCTCAATAGCCCTGGTTTCTACCAGTGACCATAGTATTCTTCTTGTTAGACCAAAGGTATATTCTCGCACTGCTTATCAAACATTGATTGACACGTTCTACTCAGATATAATTTCATCTAATGCGGTGGTGGCCAAGTGGTTAAGTCACCAACTTATGGCCTGGGAGTCCCGAGTGCGAACCGCCCCACCACCACCCGTCTTCCCAGGCAGCCTTTGTGTGGCCGCGGTCCCCCTTTCTGAACGTTGCCAGTACATATGCATGTTCAATAAATTAAAAAGCAAGTAAAAAGAACTTTATTTATATTTTTATTTATTTTCGTCGTCATATCTCTGTTCTCAGCCTTTCTGTTGCGATTGTTTAGTCTTGGTTTTATTCTTGTCCATCACCTTTTAAATGTTAGTCTGCTCTCTGAAACTACTAAATCGATTTTCAACTTGTGTTAGGACGGTAGAACTATCTCACCCCTTCTGAACTCACAGAGAAGGCATAAAAAAGACCATAAAAATCTCGCCATGCATCAGTTGTTAAGCGCCATTCCGACTTAATCAGGTTTCAGATCAGGCATGTGGATGCCATCTTCGAATCCCAAATTCTGCGAACAAAGAACACCAGTCTTTTGTACCAAGATATTCGCAGAACAAAAAACATTCGAAAACTCCGGTGGACGTCAACGGCCTCAACGCCGCTTTCATTCAACTGTCAAACGGCAGTCAGACTCCCTCCTTCCCCTGCAATGAATCAAATTCAGTGCTTTTTCCAATGATGAAATCATTAAGTTTCTCCTATCCTCCAAATCATCCTCAGCTGCAGGCCCTGATGGTCCTCCTCCGATGATTCTCAAATTTGGGGCAGCTTCCCTGGTCAATATGGTGATATCCCTCACTGAGTCCGTCTTTCCGGTCTAGCCCTTATTTTTGGTGTTATACCAATCCCCAAGTCCTCGTCCTCAACTTCTCTTGCGAAACGGTTTCTTCCTATCGCACTGACCTCAACGACCCTAAAGTTGACTGAAAAGGCCATCCTGAGTCGCTCGCAGTCAATTACCACAATCTCATACGACCCCCTCCAGTTTGCATATGAACCTAACAAATCTAAACTGGACACCGTGCCTACATTTTATCAGTAAGCCACGGAACAATTCGAGCAAGTCTGTCCATTGTTTTTATTAGTGGTATTTCGGTCCCACCCCCTACATACTCAACAGTATGCCGACGACGTCGTTTTAGGTCAGAAAATTTGATCTCCTTCGGAATTTGATTCTTTCACTGAAAATTTATCCCACATCCAACAGTTTTCCAATCAATCCGGTTTGTCTTAACACATCTAAGTGCATAGAGTGTATCTTCAGTCTTTCCCATTCCTCATTTCCAACGGGTACTGCTACCCTTAACTGTAAGCCTGTATCCAGAATGACCTCAGTCAAGTACCTGGGTGTCACCATCGACAGCAATCTTTATTGGTCCACACAAATTTACAACTGTATGCGAAAACTGAGGTGCCTATCTTTTCAGTTACGCAAACTCAGGTCATTCCGAACTCCACATTCAGTCCTGTCCTCTTTCATTCACCAATGCGTTTCGCCCATTCTACTTTATTGCTCCCCGGCATTTCAAAACCATTGGTCGTGGTTTAATGATGATCAACAGTGCATCATTGATCGCAAAACTGATTAATGGTCACATCAACTCGTGTTAAACCTGCCAGTAAGATTCCAGATAACCCTATACATCCCGATCTATCACCTTGTCGTTCTCATTTGTCCACACGCTCCTCTTTTCGACATTTTAACATTTATAAAAATTCCCTTGTACCTTACTTGGCTCGCTTCCTAACCAAACAGGAGCAAGTCGCAAGTGAATTGCGTCAAAAGTTTTGTACATGAAACAAACTTCAACGACATTCATTACGTTGCATGTTATACGGAACGGTATTTTTCATTCCGTGTGGCAGTATACATTTTTAATTGAAATGTAAACATATAAGCTTACACAAGTTATACAAATACAATACAATACAAATCCAATGTCGTTCTCCGTAGACCATTCAGAAGCCTGATGTAGTGGTTTCTCAGCATACGATAATTATTCCATGTAACAACATCCGGAAGACGTTTATAATCGCGCCAGGATAGATCCCTCAGCGATATCTATTTCCTCGTGTGATTTCGAATAGGGAACTTTCCTATGCTNTGATTACTCTAGTCGTCGTCACTGATGTTAGTAGATTTGTAAGGCTATCGATAAATTTCTGCCAAGAGAATAACGGATTGGGTTCTTCGAAGCAGGAAACCCACTGAGTAGAGAGTACCAAGTTTTGCAACCTAGTATAATCTATAGACCTGTGCGAGGTGTTTGGAGAACTTCCTTGAATAGAAACGCAACAAATGGAATGGAAGTACTGTATGATTACTGCGTCCTAGAACGAGGGGGGTCAAACTGATAGATTCTATAATTCACTCTTGGTTTGCCAATCGAGTATTGATGGCGACTGCGGGTTTCCAACCCTGGTGGCCTCCTTCACATGGTTGTACCGTGGATTCAAGTCGCCCAGTTGTTTGAGATGATGCTCGAATAATGGACAGACGGTCGTTGATTTATTGAGATTGAGGCGGTTGAAATAACCCATAAAGAGAACATGGGTAAATCTGTGTAAGAAAGTGTGATAAGTTTGCAAGAGTTTCGCTGGCTGATTCCAAGGATGACAGACTACGTCAATCAAACATTCGTTTTACTTGGTCAATCGTAACTTAAGCCAAACTGCATCAGGAGCCGAAATTGCAGGATTTCTTAACTTGCACTGAAGAGCAATGCTAAAACACCATCGCCACGTGCGAGATGATTGCATCTTAGTAGAGAGATACTTGGTGGAGTTCGGAGTCATTTACTGTGGCTGACAGCCATATTTCGGTAACGGTAATGATATGCCATTGGTCACTGCGTTCGATAGAAAATCAGTTTGTTTAGCTCTAAGATACTCCGGAGCCAAGTAAAAATGTTACGAATCACAACAGAAGTAGATCAGCCCAAGAAACTTGGCTCGCATTCAATGATGGGTAGTTAACAGACGGAATTACACCTACGTTGGTTAACACTAATTATGACACTTTCCGAAAGATATTGGAAAGTCACAAGACAGTTGACTCTGTACAGGCGAAATTCCCCGATATCTCCGTCTGCCAGTGACAATGTGGATCACCTCTTTTCCATTATTCATTGATCCGAGGTGTGCAATAAAGAAAATCTGAACCAATTCTCTTTATATTCATCAGATCAGGCAGAAGCTCTCATCCGACCTTGAGAAAATAACTGTCATTACAGGCCAACCAGAGTATGATTTAATTGGCCTGTTATTGTCAATAAGACTGATTCAAGCGGTCGGTCACACATTGTACACCGTAGAATCATGTGTCGCTCTCAGTCCAAAAGGAACAGACCCTTAATGTCTCCTTTTAGAGATCAATAAAGACAGAAGTAGACCAGGTTGCACCAGTAAGTACACCATTTCAATTGTGCATGTGGTTGACCATTACCTACACACACCACTACTGTGAGTTAAATGCAAATTATCAATCCAGCCTAGTAGGTTTGTGGCAAGTCATCCCGTAACCAGCTTGGAAGACCTGATTTGGTGGGAGGCTTTCGATAGCAGTTGACAGATAGTCAACTGTGTCTCCCTTCGCTGCTGTCGGGCCAACAATGAACTGACCTGCTATCACTGAAGACTACACCTGAACAAATAGGAATTCGCCATCCGATTAGGTCTTGGTAGGAACTGGCTGGCACAGTGGTCACACACACGACTTCCATGTGACTAGTCCGAAGCCTGAACGAGACGGAATGTATGCACTACTGATGAGCTCCCATAAGAGCGAAACTCGAGTCTAGTGCTTGCCAGTGTATGATTAACTGGATGCACTGAGGATTGTGCTCGCTTGTTAAGTCCGAGGGATAGCCACTTCAAATCAATATAGATTATCCTACACCACTACTCACAAGTAACTGAGTTAAATGCGAATTAACTATTCACTTAGATTATTTTCTATACAGTGCATATGAATCAAACGAGGTACTATATTTTGATAACTGTAAAACAATTTGTGAACGGTAAAATTTCGAAAAAAGTTGGTGATTTCATTTTGATTAACAGTGAATCACATTGGAAGTCAAGGAAGTAGCGAGTATTGCGTGCAAGACAAGAAGTTTCAGAGTTGCCTCGAACGTTATATATTTACACACAGCCCTACCACTTATGAGAGTTTCTTTTGTGGAAATGATGGCTGTGGAATAAGATAGTGGCGCGCAGTTATTGGTTAAATGGTTATTAGGTGCTCGAAGAACGAAAATCGCAGAGCGAGTTTTCATCTAGGGAAAGGATGTGAACAGATAGAAGCAAGGAAAATCGGGTATAATAACCGGTTTAGAATATGCGTATATCTATATACATTGTCCTCAGGTAACTGGACTGAAGAACAAAAGAATCACGGCAGACACCTGGTTATGTACATGTGCACAAGGTAATAAAAGGAACAATTTAACGCCTTCTTCGACCCCGCATGTGTGTTTTGAAGCGTTGTAACGCAAGACTGTCCGTAGCGCGTTCTGCTCGAAGCCGTTGCATTTCCGCTACGAGTAAAATGGCACAGAGTAGTTCGAATTAAGACGTGTGTGAATAAAACGAGTATGAAAAACAGAGGATAAACAGTATCAATGACTTTGTAAGATGCGAAAACAAACATACGAGGACCAGTTTGTAGTAATTTGTCAATACCCAAATCAACCAACCAGTGTCCGAATTAGCGAAATTCACGAATGTTGATTAGATCAGTTATTTATTTCGATTGAAAGTGTTGATATTTGTATTGTTACTACAAGAGAGGTGGGAAATACCGCTAACACCACTCCGTTTTCCGTTTGCATAAATTGTGCGTATTATATTATTGTATTTTACACACGTCTGATGTCAGACTGTGCCAAACAAATCACGGTACAGTAATCTTTAGGAAAAAAGAAAAAGGTCCATGATTTGGACATGATAAGGACACGTGAATATAAGCACTTCCCACATGAGTGTGAAGAGAAATAGATGAGGAATTCATAGACTGGACGATGAGCGCATTCATTTGTACAGTAAAAATTGAATGACTAGTGAACCGTTCATGGCTATCGAGGTTGTGACAAACCAAACCCTGAATCACAGATCGGTAGGTTCTCCACACGAGACCATTACCGCAAAGCGGTTTCGCTTTATTCATTCACCCCATGATACTGTTGGTTAGTGTAAAACATAACTAATTTGTGAGCGTTTTCATCGAACAGATGTACTACAGTATGACACTTCTGAGAATCTTACTTTCAGAACACAAGTCCGAAAGCGAACAAGTGTTTTCGAATGATTCATAATAGTGCCTGTGCAGATCATGTAAGGGTTTATTGTTAGTGGAGATACATGTTCACGCTGGGTCGAAAGGAAATTTGGAATGAGGAAAAGAGAGGGGTGAGGTGAGCACTAGTTGCCTGTGTTCGGGTGAGATTGATTTTGATTGGAGTGTGGTGGGGATGTTGATGATCAATTTGGGGCCAGGGAAAGTGGAAAGCTTGAACCGGTCGCTTTTGTGCTCATGGTTATGGTGCGAAAAGCCGAATGCCTATCGCTTCTGCGATGGCTAGCATGTGTAAGCTCACTGCCTTCGAGGGGTTGGGGGCGCATGATAGATTACGCTGAAGGCGGATTCTGGTCTAATTTGCTCACCTGTATACACTAGATGACCAAGAATGGCGATTCCTATGCTCCATGCTCTTTCATCCGTTGGAATAGTTGCCTTACCGTGCGGCTAATGAACGTTGCATTACAAACGCACCGGAAACAGTAGATAACCATAGAAGTGGCCAGCGTAGGTAGCCCATGTTTGCGTCTCGTTCGGATGATGGGCGAGCCTGCCAACATACGCGGTAATCGGGCTGCGCTGTAGGTCCACTTCAGTGCATGCGTCAGACGGTTGTTCAATAGGTCCGATGTAGCATCTCCTGGAAAACCTAGACGGATGAATCATTTCTTCTTTTGCGCCTCATGGACCTGTTCGGATTGTGACCTTTCCTCCCCATCCCAAATGACCTTCCGACCCAGCAAGAAAATGTGTCCCCACTAACAACAAACCCTTATATGATCTGTATAGGCACTATTATGAATCACTCGAAAACAATTGTTCTCCTTCGGAATTGTGGTCTGATGTTACAATCTTACTTTCATCAACTGAAGATTTGTTCTTCTTCTAATCTGTCTTGTATGTATGTAGTTCACACGAGTCTGAACCTAGACTGTGTGACAAACAAATCACGGTACAGTAGTCTTTATGAAAAAAGAAAAAGGTCCATGATTCGCTCGTGGGCACAATACTGCTAGGTTGCCTAGGACAAAGCAGGTGAACTTTCTTAGGGAATTCACAACAGAAGTATTTGGTTAGCCAAAGCTTGACTCGCAAGGCAGCGGGGCGGTGAGCGAAAACCGCAAGCCATTGGGGACCGGTGTCCAGTTCATCGGATCATACGACCTTCGGATGGGGTTAAACGTCCAAGGCGCCCAATACACCTCGATGACCAACTGAGCCGTGACCACTGCCAACACCAGAAAGGTGTAGATGTGTGGTTCGTTCGCCCCTTCTTGGTTGGTTCAGAATCAGGGTTTTTAGCCAACACCCTAGATGAACTACCAGTGGTTCACCAAACCGATTATAGGCCCGGATCTCGGCTTTTCGTCCTCTTATTTTGGTCGGAAAACNCCCCCGCCACGAGAAGTCAGTGAGCAGGACTTTTTCAGCAGAGGCTATTTGAGACGCTTGGTCGTATGGGAGCATTTCCCGAGGTGCAAGGGACGGGTGACCAGCCGCAACCCCAGGCACCCACCTCCGACCATACTGAGGATTTCGGAGGCTGCATAAATTGTGCGGGACGTGACTGGAGCAGTCACCTGTTTTGTGCGAGGATGACGCACCGAGACCGATTAGTTGTCTCATATTAACCATAGCGGAAGTGTTCAAAACCCGTCTCCTGGACATCCTTAACCCACTCGAGAATGCGAAAGAACGCCCCTAGATCACACACAAACAAACACACACCGCATCTCGATGAAGTGAAATGCCCGGATAAAAATATGACGCGAAAACTTAATCGGACTACCGATACGAAGAAATTTTACATTTTATTAAATTCAGACCGCACGGACAAGCTATTACTGTTTGCGACCAGTGCTGAAACTCTGCAGGTAAAACGGAAACTGAAAAGTTTTCCGCTGATTTGCTGCACACTATCCGGAGACCTGTGCGTTTTGACCGCTGATTATGCACGGCGGAGACCGAATTCAGCTGTGCAAGCTAGATTCGCATAAATGTCTGAGAGTAGTCTGCCAGAGGTGGTTCCATTGATTTCACTTGAGAATCACAGCCGTATCGGCAGTGTTTACGGCAGCTATGATGAAGCAGTTAAGACCACCGAATTATCGCCCCGGAAGCACCNCACCCGTTCAAATCCCGCCATGGCCATCTAACTTTCCCCATTTCCTGTGTACTGTAAAGTAGCTGTTTGAATGACTGCTTCCCTTATCCTAAAAACGGTCTGTACAGTTAAATATGAAATAAAGCGAAGAAAAAGAATAGACATAAAACAATTATGTCGTGGGAGTCGTATATTTCTGACAGCCGGCGAATTATAGGCTTAATAATAATAATAATAATAACCACTTTAATGACAATAATAGTAATAATAATAATACCGATGGAAAGTTGATATAGACTATTGATATGGTCAGTGCAGCAATGTAAATTATTGGCAAGGATTACATTGGCAACTGAGACATTGCACAAAAAGAGCTGGGGCTATGGCATTTATTACTAACAGAATACAAAGGACTGTCAACTCACCTTCAATGTGCGGAGGTTCGTGATGTTCGGATTTGGGCTTTGAGGTCTCCGATTTAGTAGATATGCTCAACAACTCGCGTTTGTAGTCCGCCTCGGATAGAGTGACAGCACTGGAGTGATTGTCTGTAACGTGAATGTAGATCAGACGATGCGGGGTTCAGCAAATAGTGAGAACCATAAGTAGGTGCTGTATCTGATAAGAATACTTGATGTTTAATTCCAATTAGATACTAAGGGTAAGTGACCAGGTTACTAGAGTAAACCAATTTTATATGCAATTTGGAACAGGGCTAGACTTGGTGTTTAGATTTGCTCTATTGTAATTGCACTACTCAGAAGTAGTATAAAATAGGAATTTATAATGAGATACATTGAAACAAGTTGAAGAAATGGGGCAAAAGTTGGGTGATGAAGAAATGATAGAACAATATGACGGAACTAATCGTTCAACTAGAAGATTTGCAATTCAGAGGATGCTTCCACTCTGACTGCACACAGTCACACTAGAAAGAATCTAGTAGACAAACAGGTATCATCGACTCACCGATAGGACACAACTGGATTTAGCGTGAACTAAGAATCAAGGCTGATATTGCAATATTTATGTTTCTACTGTCAAGTCGACACAAGCTTTGGACATTCAGAAGTGCAAATCAAGAAAAACAATAGAATGATAGATGAAAACGCACATATGCAGACACACAAACCTGGATGACAAAACGACAGAAGATAAGTGGAAGTAGAGCACCTCGGGTTATTGTGAAAGAGTCCTTTACTTTATCGACAGGAGTTACTAAAATGTGCAAAAGCCAGGGAATGTTTCAACAAAGCCGAATAGCTCGATGGACTGAACATTTCGAGGCCAAATCGACATAAGACTTATGGACTCACAACTGGAATGGGCAAATGCTCTTAGTTGATGCCCGTCCTCCATCCAAAATGGAAGGTTCCAAATCATCATAAAAGGCGTAAGACATTTGGCCCAGATGAGCTGTCCCCATCAGCTTTCAAGGATGGGGATTCAGCGTTGGTCTGGAAGTCGATGAAGTACACGGGATGGGTATGGAATGGCGAACAGGTTCGAATTGAATGGTGTGAATCGATCATCTTACGGATTTGCGAGAAATATGGTAGGTCCTCTTGTGAATTGACTTGGAAAACTGTCTCAAATCCCCTACCACCACAATCTTTCGATTGTCCACCGCTCGTGAAGCGTGCATGCATGAGAACCAGGGTAGTTTCAGACTAGTTCGAGGTTCTGTCGACCATGGTTTCACCCTGTGCCGAATTCTGGAACATCGACATTCTTTTCGTAGACCCACAACACCATCTTGCCCGATCGAAAAACAGCCTTCAATTCACCCAATCGTTTTACCCTTCAGCGCTACCTCTATTTGGAAGTATCAGCAGAGAAGTCACCTTCAATCATGCACCTTTCAGATCAACGAACACGACAACCGTTGGTCGACGGTGCGTATGGCGCAGCTCGAGGACTTGAGGTAGGGTGAAAATGTGATCGATACAAACACGACCTGGTCGAAATCCTCCTTATTGTTCGCAGATGTTTGTCTCCCTAAACGGTGTCAGACGTCGAAGTATAATGGAGGCTAGTAACTTGGTGACGATTGGGATCAAACTTATTCCACGGTGGTTTGCGCAGTCATTGCGAGATCCCTTCTTACAAATTGGAACGATCAGTGATCGGTTCCAGGCTGAAGGAATGCATTATATAAGCATTATATCAGTGATGGCGTCTTCGAGGTCATCGCCTCCCATCTTGAAAAGTGTTTACAAGCAATCGACAATTTGATTACGGACCATTTGTATTCGTTAAGGCTCCGTGTGCACTCCTCAGCGATATCGCAAGATACAGGGCGGATAGCTAATATAATACCCTTGTAGCTGCTTCGACGACTGGACTGGATTATGAAAAGAAAGCTACTGTATGCTAGTCAGCAGTTACCGATAGATACAGTCGGCTAACACTGACCGAACCCGCTGACCAGCTTATTTTGGAGGCAGTGAAGATGATAAGGCATCGGCAGTTATGCGGCAAAATACGCAGCGGGAGGCCTCCCTCCGGAGGCCGACAGATGATGCCGATAGCCAAGCAGTCGATGGTCATCAGTTTGGTTCGACATCATACCGCTTCCCCAAGACGTCATAGGCCCATAGGTGTCTTCAATTGTCTCGCAAACCCATGGGGATTGAATAAACAGTGTTACACCTTCCCGCTATTCGTCTATTATATCCGCCGCCTCGAGAGGACATAATCCGGGAGTGCTACCCAGTTTCAGACTTCCGAATTTAACTAGGTTTCTGTTAGTGTCACGAGCGTTAGGGTGAGACTGAACTTAGGCCTTTAGCTCCGCTCACTTACTCAACAAACCACAAACAATGGCCAGTATTATACTGATTTAGCTTTGCCCCACTCTGATCCCTTTCTCCCATTTAGTGAGTATTATGCAGAAATGGACGGTGGGAAGCCATGCGGTTTGTGCACCCGAAAATCCCGAAACATCAGATCCGTTTCACTATATGCTAAACGCTCATCTGTCTTTTGGAGACTGTACCGCTTAACAGGGTCAAGGCCCGAGGTAGCATATTCGATCGATTTTCAATCGATGTGTTGTTGCCTCACCGACTGAACACGAGAGAAAGTGGGGGGACGAGGAGGGAGAGCATTTCCTCAATGTCGAAATGCTGTTACTCGACATATTTTTTGCGCTATCTACTTCCCCTTTGAATAATCACCCTGAGTAAGGTGTCCGAAGGAAGATGACATCGTAATAAAGTCGTGACCGCAACTTCGACTGCATTGCCTAAGGGATACTGGTCACTATCAGTTGATTGCTGGTAATGTACCCACATGAGGAAAAAAAATCGAGGTTTTATCGCATTGAAGGCAATTACTTAAATAGGGTGGTATAGACTAAGTTTCTCTTTCAATCAACATCACCCGGAGTTCATTTTGAGACCCATGCAGTTTATTCAGTTAACCATACACTCGTGAAGCATCAGGCTCGTGAGTTATTTTCATT